TCTCTCCCCCATAGACTTAGTGCCTGGTAGTTTTAATAACAGTGGTTTAATTTTAAGAAAGTAGCATTTTCTTTCATGATCATTAAAATTATATTTGTTAAATTGCTTAGTAAGCAGAAAAACACAACCGATGAGTAAAATGGGATATACAGGCATACTTTGTTTTATTGTGCTTCATTTTGCTGTACTTCAGATATTACATTTTTTATAAATTGAAAGTGTGGCAACCCTGCCTCAGGCAAGTTTATCTGGCACCATTTTTTCAACAGGTGTTCACTTCATGTCTTTATGCCATATTTTGGTAATTTGGACATTATATCAAACTTTTTCACAGTGCTTTTGCACACTTAAAACATTATAGCACAGTGCAAGCATAATTTTTTATGTACTTTGGGAAACAAAAGAAAATTCCACATAGCTTTTTCTATACCTTCGGAAACAAAAAAATTCCATGTGACTCATTTTCTCACAGTATTTCATTTACTGTGGATCAGAAAGCTGGACAGTGAAAAAGCATGAGAAAAGAAGAATCTGCTTTGAATTGTAGTGTTGGAGAAAAACAAAAAACTAACAGATATGTCTTGGGAATAGTGCAGCCAGAGTGCTCCCTGGAGGCAAAAATTGTGAAGCTTCATCTTTCATACTTTGAACATGTAGCTAGGCAAAGGTATTTTTTGTAACAGAACAGCCTGATTGGAAAGATGGGGAGTGAGTGAGCAAAGGAAAGGAAGACCCCCGATGAAGTGGATTGACATGGTGACTTGAGCAATGGGCTCTAATGTGTCAGATGATGAGGATGGCACAGGATGGGGCATAGTTCAGTTCAGCTATTCTTAGGGTCGCTATGAGTTGTAATAACAATCTATGATCTGGAACGGAACCCACATTGTTTTAGGGTGCATAAGAATGATCTCAGCTATTTTTTGCAAAAAAGAATGTGTTTAAGTACTGGGATTATGAAATATTTTTCTTTGCTTCCCTCCCCCCATGTTTCAGTGCTTATTTGTTACTTCTTAAATTATAAATTAATATTTCTTTCTCTGATTACAAAAGTAATACATCTCTGTGAAAATATACAAGCATAAGCCTCAAATCCATACTCATTGCCTTTGAGTTGATGCTGACTCAGTCAACACTGTTGAGTTCTTGAGGCTGTCAATCTATAGAGAGACTAGAGACAAACTGCCACCCTTCCAGTCAGTAGACTTTTATACATTATCCACTGTTTACCAGTACCCCTTATATAAGCACAAAGGATAAAATAAAATTCATTTGTCATCTGCCACCTCCAGATAAAACACATAGTAACATCTAGACCTATAGCCTTTACTTTTTCCCCTTATGCACACATTTATTTAAGGAAGTAAATTTGAAACCAAGTAACATTGTCTTAATCTTTCTAATATGGAAATATAAAACACATAAAAAAGGTAGAGAGAATTGTATAATGAACACCCATACGTTGTTATATGCCGTCGAGTCGCTTGTGACTCATAGCAACCCTTTGTACAACAGCCCTAAACTCTGCTCTGTCCTGTGCCAGTTGTACTGTCTCCGATACACTCATCCCGAATACCCCAGCCACTGAATCAGTTCACCTCACAGAGGGCCTTCCCCTCCTGCGCTGTCTCTCCACCCTACCAAGCATGATGTCCCTCTCCAAGGACCTGTCACTCCTTACAACATGTCCAAAGTATGTCAGACGGAGCCTCAGAATCGTTGCATCCAAGGAGCCACCCAATTTAACCCTTTCCAGGATGACTCTGTTTTCCTAGCAGTCCATGGCACCGTCAGTATTCTTCTCCAGCACCACAGCTCAAAGGCATCAATTCTCCTTCTATCCTCCCTAGTCATTGTCAAACTCTCTGATGCATAAGAAGTGATTGCATAGACCATGGCCTGGATCAGATGCACCTTAGTCTCCAGAGAGACACCATTGCTCTTCAGTCCTTTGGAGAGGTCCCTAACAGCAGACTTTCCCATGACAATACATCTTTTAATTTCCTGGCTACTGGTACCAAGAGTGTGGACTCTGGAGCCAAGCAAACTAAAACTGTAAACAATCTCAGTCTCTTCACCATCCATCCTGATACTGCCAGTTGGTCCAGTGGTGAGAATCTTTGTCTTCTTGACATTGAGCCTCAATCCATACTGGAGGCTGCAGTCCTTGACCCTCTGCAGCAAGCGCTTTAGATCCTCCTCAGTTTCAGCAAGCAGGGTTGTGTTATCTGCATAACGCAGGTTGTTGATAGATCTTCCACCAATCTTGAGCCACATTTCTCCTCATAGAACCCAGCCTCCCGGGTAATCTGTTCTGCATACAGGTTGAAAAGGTATGGAGACAGAATACACCCCTGGCGTACACCCTTCCCAATTTTGAACCATGCAGTGTTTCCTTGCTCTGTTTTGACGACTGCCTCTTGGTCCAAGTATAGGTTTCTCATTACCACGATCAAGTGTTCTGGGATTCCCATTCTTCTCAGAGTCAGCCACAGTTTGTTACGGTCGGTCCACACAGTCAAATGCCTTTGTATAGTCAATGAAACACAGATATACATTCCTCTGATATTCCCTGCTTTCAGCTAAGATCCATCTAACGTTAGCTACAATATCCTTAGGACCATGTCCCCTTCTAAACCCAGCCTGGACTTCTGGCAGTTCTCTGCTCATGTGCTGTTCCAGTCATTTTTGGATAATCTTCAGTAGAATCTTGCTTGCGTGTGAAATCAAGGATATAGTTCTATAGTTTCCACACTCTGTTGGGTCACCCTTCTTTGGAATGGGAACAAATATAGATCTCTTACGGTCAGTTGGCCAAGTGGTTGTTCTCCAGATTTCTTGGCACAACTTGGTGAGCACGTCCAGGGCAGCATCTGTTAGCTGAAATATGTCAATCGGTATACCTTCTATTCCTGGGGCCTTATATTTTGCAATTTCCTTCAAAGCAGCCTGAACTACTTCTTTCATCACAATAGGCTCTTGCTCATATGTTGTTTCATGAAATTCTTCTGTGTCTCCCAATTCCTTTTGATACAGTGACTCAGTATATTCTTCCCATCTTCTTTTAATACTTCCTGGATCATTTAATATTCTGCTGAAAGCATCCTTGATTATAGCAACTCGAGGTTTGAATTTGTTCTTCTGTTCCTTGAGCTTAAGAAATGCTGAGCGAGTCCGGCCCTTTTGATTTTCTTACTCCAACTCCTTGCAGATTTCATTGTAATATTTTACTTTGTCATCCCGTGCTGCCTTTTGAAATCTTCTATTCAACTCCTTAGTATCTTGAATTCTTCTTTACCCAGTTTTAAGTATTATTAACATTTTTGTCAGTGTTCTCTCCCATTTTGTTAACTGAATTATTTTAAAGCAAATCCTTAGTAACATGTTTCGCCTGAAATACTACAGTATGAAAGTTTAAAAGATGAAAGAAATTAGAAAAACATCTTGATGAACAGTGATTTCTTAGTATCATCCAGTTACTTCTGGACTGTCTCATAAATGTATTTTAGCAGATAATTTATTTAAGTCACTTGTGTCCGAAGTGGGATATGAAGCAGATGATTTCTTTAAATAAAAACCCTAGGTTGCCCACACATTACATTTGATATGTCACTTAAGATTCTTTCATTTAAAAAATTATAATATAGCATAAACAGTTTAATAATTTCATTGTTACTCTGATTTTTAATTGTCCGTCCTTTGGTGGCCTAGTGGCAAGAAGGTGCGTTGGAATCCCGAAGGCAGTCAGTTCAAGGCCACCAGCTGCTCCTTGGGAGAAGGATGGGCAGACTCCTCCCATGTGATTAACTGCCTCTGAAAACCTTCCAGAGGGTCAGCTTTGGTTTGGCTCTGACTCTATGATAACACAACAATAACAGTATCCTTTTCCTTTGCTAATACTACAAGCTATATTTATATTAAGAAAAAAGATTTCTGTTCAAATATGTTTACATATTTTGTGTAATCAGTTTTGTTACTGGTTCAGAAGTAGTAAAATAAATAGAAAAAGATGTAAAATAACTCTGTTTCTTTATTGTGATGTGACTAAAAGCTCAGCATGTGGTCAATAGAAGTATATTAATTTCTAGTCTTTGAAATACGCATTTACTGTCCCTGAATTTATGCCTTTCCGTTATTAACAGTACTTTTTTAAAAAAAAAAAAAAGAAGTAACATATGAAGTTTGTTCCTTTTTTAATCTTTCTTCCAGATTGCTCTCAATGTTGCAGGAAAAGGTGATAGTTTGTCATCGTGGGATGGTATTTTAGACCTGCCAGAACAGAACACTGTTCATAATGATTGCCAAGAGCTTATCAGTAAGTTTAATAATATTTCAATCTATACAACATTTTTAAAGTAGCAATCTTTAGAACAAAATGTTGCAGTTATAGTTTTAAGTTGCAATGCGATGGATTTGTAGAAGACTTGTTGAGTAGCTTTAGTATTTTTATTCTGAAATTCTATGACATAGTATCTAATAATCTGTCTTTTACTGTTTCTTTTGCATTATCTATTTGTTCGTGTATAGTTACAGTTTTGTGACAGTCTTAATTTTTGTAGAATTAGAAGACTATGTGATTGTACACAGTCCTCAAAAGAAGCTGTTTCCCAAAGTTCATATCTAAATCATAGATTAACATTTGATGTAGAAAAATTATAAATCAAAAGTGAATAGTTTCTACCAACTCTAGAAGGTTGGAGTCAATTCATAGAAATAATTTGTTTCTCGTAGTTTATCTGTTGTCCTTTGATTTTTTTTTTCTTCTTTTTCCTCTTTCCATCATAGTTAAATTACTGGCTTAGTAGGCTTGTGTATTAACTACAGCAGAAACATTCTTTCTAGTGTGGGCAAAGAAGGGAATTTTTTTAAGGAGAATGAATCTTTCCCTGCCCCTGCCAGAGCTATGGTGGCAACTGCCCATCATGATGTGGATGATAGTCTTGTTTAGAAAAATATTTTTTGCTTTCCAGTAATGAGTCATGCCTATCTCTACTTCAGACTGACCATTCTTATATTTAATGTATATATAAGTCAAATATTTTAAATAAAGTTCTAATATTAAGAGAACACTGGGTAAATAGGAACCCTCTCACTTTCTCTCTTTTTTTTCAGAGAGCTACTTACATAGACTTAACTCTCTTAGCTCTGCAAAGTCACAGCTGCCTTAACACACGTGACTTTCATAATGGGGAGAGAGAGAAAAAAGATCTACTCCAGACCTTAGAAAGCCTTGTTGTAGTCCTTCTTTCCTGGGGGGTGCTACAGAACTTGAGGAAAGGGGGAAGGGGCAGGCTTAGGAGAAACTAATTATTCTTAATTTTTTTACGCAGTTGTCTTGCTTAAGATTCAAAACAAGTAATCTAAAGTACTCAGAGTTTTCCCCCCCCTTGATATTTGGATCTGTACATTTGAGCCAATGATTATTTAAATATATACTTTAAAGTGTGCTATTATGAAGCTTTAATTTCTCTTTGCAGTGCTGTAGATAAACCAACATTATATTGTCAATAAGTGTATGCCAGTAACTAAATTTTTAAGAGGCTCTTGGTAACTTCATTTTGACTCTTTATTTTCTAGACCAGCTTTCAGTGCCAAAGGAGAAGTCAACAGCGTTACTTTTGGATATTGAATCTGTAATTACCTTTTATTGTAAATCACGAAACATTAAGTATAGCACATCTCTTAGCTGGATACATCTACTCAAACCATTGGTGCATCTTCAGCTGCCCCGCAGTGATTTATACAACTGCTTTTATGCTGTCATGAATAAGTACATTCCTAGGTAAGACATGATTTAGTTATTACAGTTTTAAAAGGGAATTGAAGTATAGTTTACTTTAACTAAAGTTGTTGGATTTACTTTGATGGTTAAGTATTCAACTAACACTCATGCTTGTTTGGACAATTAACAGTTAATTGAATTTCCATTTTATGGTTGTAAACACTTGTTAAAGGATTCTTTAGTTAAGAATTTATTATACTTCTAGTGTTTACATGAGTGTTTTATTTCATTTATTCCATTTAAATTTTATACTTCTAAAATAATAATAAAATATGCTACTTTATGCATGGTGCTTTATGCATAGTTTGGAATTGCAAGCATTGTACTAGTGACTGTAAGTGTGCTGAGTATTAGCTAAGTTAAATATGTGGTACTGTATGGGGCTGAAGGAGCCCCGGTGGCCTAGTGGGCCCATGGTTTATATCCCCCAGCTGTTCTAAGGAAGAGAGATGGAGCAGTCTCTTCTCATAAAGATTTATAGCCTCAGAAACTCGGTGGAGATTTGTGATGAATAGGACTTGGTGTTATGGCAGAGGATGGAGGATCTAATTGGCCCTGGAGATAAGGGGTGGTTTCCCTGAGCAGCTGATGCTTAATTTGAGACCAGATGGTACTGGGAGGGTTGGGGCGGGGGGGCAGTCATGAGCCTAGATGAATCTTTGTCATTACCAGTAGTACTATGGATTAGATAAATAAATCGGAATTTTAGTGTTTTTAAAAGGAACTTTAGGCATAATCTAAGCCAGAAACCTATCTGCATAATTTTGACTGCTTGTAAGAATTACTGGGTAACATTTAAAAATCCTAATGCTTATTTGTATACATAACTCATTAAGTAAAAATTCTTAGGGGAGATCCAGGCGTTAGGCTTCTCAGTTGATTCCAAGTACAGCCAAGATGAAAAACTGCTATTCTGGACCCTTATAGTTAATGACACTATTTTTTACTATTTTCTGCGTGACAACACACTTTGCTAAGTGTAGATGCTTTGTATATTTTCTCATTTAAACATTTGCCTTTTATAAATGTACTGACAACTAGGGAAACCAAGGCAAAGAAAAAGCGATACTAATCGTCTGGATTATGCTTCTAATATGTGCATGAATCAGGATTTGGGTCAAAACTTGTGCTTTATTAATATTATTTTCAAATCTACTTGCTTTTTATAACCAACTGAAAAACTTTTAATTGTATTCATCTTTTTTAACAGTTTATCGAGATATAAATTATAAATCATAAATTTACCCTTTTATAATATACACACTCAGTGCTTTTAATATATTCACAGAGTTAGACAACCAACACGAGGATAAATTTTGGAATATTTTTATCACCCAGAAAGAAGCCTCATACCTATAAGCATGCATTCACCAATCATTACTTAAAGACAGGAAAACCAAGCTCTGTGCCATCAAATTGAGGCAACTCTTAACCTTTTTTGTGGTATGGATTATGGAACATTCCATGTAAACAGAATCATAAAATACATGATCTTTGTGACTGCCTCCTTTCACTTAATTTGCTGCAGTGTGTATCAGTATTTCATTCTCTTCTTATTGCCTAATAGTATTTTATCTTATGACTATACCTTATTTATCCATTCTAAAGGCAGTGAATGGATGGTTTGAGTTGCTTTCAGTTTTTAAAAGATCCTTCTTTTCCTTCTTGCCTTCTGAGCTTTATGATCCTGTGTGGTTGGTTGTTTTAAGGACTAAATACTCCTTGGTTTTTACTCACCTTATAGTCTTATAGTCCTGACTGAAAGCTGTGCCACAGGGGTGAGTTGAGTTTCAGCCTCAAAGGGTGACTATAGGGAATAATCTTAGAGGTTCTTCTACTCTGTATCAGACTAGTAGTAAACCAGACTGTTTACCTGATTTTTGTATTTTATTCTTATTTCTCTCCCACTTATCTGGAACCTTCTATTGGCATCACTTTCAAAGTGAACCACAGTGGTAGCTGTGCATCATTTAACTAGTAATTTTTATCTCCGAGTCATTGGAAGCTAAGATTTGTGTGTTCCACCACACTGTTCTAGTTGCTTCCATGTGTCTTTAATTTTCTTCTCCTCTCCTTGCTCTAAACTGGAAGAAGCTAAGAGTTGCTCCTTAGATGGCCAGTTACAAGCTGCTAAGATCCTAGTCTTTATTCAGCAAAGTAAAATTCTCTTTGCAGACTGTACCATGTAACATTGATGTCCCCCAAACTAGCATCCTATTTTCATTTTTTGGCTTTTATTAATAATGCAAATTACAAACATTTATGTACAAGTTTTTCTGTGGACACATACTTGTATTTCTCTTCAGTATGTACTTTAGAGTGAACTTGCTGTATTATATGATAGTTTTTTTTAACCTTTTGAGAAATTTCCAGACTTTGTCACATTACTCTACATTTTACATTCCTGGTATTAGGGTCCTAATTTTTCCACATCCTCCACAACCTCCATGTTGAATATTGATCTTTTGCATTATCATTGTCCTGGTTGACATGAAGTGGCATCTTGTAGTTTTGATTGAATGTTCCTGGTAGCTCATGATTCTGAGATCATACATATCTTTGGATAAATGTCTATTTCCTTAAAGAACATTTAAAAGATACTGGTCCCTGGAGGTTCAAATAGAAATAGCTAGAGCCTCAGCATAATTTTTTTTTCCCCCAAGCTTCTTATGGAGTGAGAACTCCGCCCAGAGATGCCAGGGGGTTAAAAAAAAAAAAGGCAAAACCCTTTGGATAACTGAAACTAGAGTTCATATTTAGAAGTCATTCTGTTGTATTAGGTCTCTGAGCTGACAGTATTTTAGTTTTTATTCATAACTGCAACAGAGCTAGCACTAGTGAGGGAAATTGCACCCCTTGTTTTAGAGGATATTGATAGTAGTGGTTGAGAGTATGGAACAGGAAACTTTGCATTGAGCCATATAACGTGCTGTCTTATCTGCGTCCTCTTAGTAATTCTGTGAGTTTCTCTTATAAGATACCATTCTAGCTGTGATCAGTTTTAATGTCCCTTGTGCTGCTCAAAAGGCTTTGTGTCTCCACCGGTTAGAATCCACCAGCTATTGCAAAATAGAACAATGAATAGTCTCCTCAGTTAAACCCTTGGGCACCTGATAAGTAGCAGTTAATGTCCTGGCAGCAAGTTTGGTTTGAGTTTTTTTGTTTGTTTGTTTTTGGTAAGTTGTTTCGGGTTTTGGTTTGTTGGCGTTTTTTTTTTTTAAGTAGTAGTAGTAGTTAGAATATGTCACCCACAAATTACTACTAGAAGGATTTTATTAATAGATGATCATTTAGAATCACCTGGGTAATTCTATCAAGGATAAGGCTTTGCAGTAGAGAGTAACGTCACAGTATATATACTGTTGTTGTTGAGTACCATAGAATAGGAACCAACATGTAGCTGACCCTCTAGCAGGTTTTCAGAGGCTGTTAATTGGCTTAGGAAGAGATTGCCCATGCTTCTCTTTATTTACTATTAAAAGAATAAATACTTTCTGGTAATTCATCTTCCTATTATCTGTTTCTGTTTTCTGCTTACCATTCTGTTTCATTCACAGTTACTCAGAGGAGAAAGTATTAAAAGTAAGAAGATACTCCTCTTTGTTTTTTGTTGTTAAAAAAAGTTTTTGTGATTTAGGTAAGACGAAGGTATTTGTGCAAAAATGCAACTACTTCTGTCCTTGTTATTATTGTTATGTGCCGTCGAGTTGCTTGTGACACATAGCGACCCTATGTGTAATAATCTTGTATAATAACTCTATTCTGAGCTAGCCTTATTGTCCCTGACACACCTACCCTCATCACCCTAGAAACTGAATCAATCCATCTCATCAAAGGTCTCCCTCTCTTGTACTGTTCCTCCACCCTTCCAAGCATGATGTCCCTCTCCAAGGACTAGGCCCTCCTTGTAACATGCCCAAAGTATGTCAGATGAAGCCTCAGAATCCTTGCCTCCGAGGAGCAGCCTGGTTTCACCCTTTCCAGGATGAACTTGTTTGTTCTCCTGCCAGTCCATGATATATATTTAGTGCTCTTCTCCAGTACCACAGCTCAACGGCATCAGTTCTCTTTCTATCATCCCTAGTCATTGTCCAGCTCTCTGATGCATAGCAAGTAAATTCAAAGACCATGGCCTGGATTAGGTGCACCTTAGTCTCTAGACTGATGTCATTGCTCTTCAGTACTCTGGAGAGGTCCTTGACAGCAGACTTTCTTAATGCAGTTCATCTTTTGATTTCCTGGCTGTTGTTTCTGTCCTTAGACGTGTGAATTGCCAGAATGCGATCTTTTTGACAGAACTTTCCATTTGCATTATCAAAGGTTAGCAACAATGAGTATCACTCCAAATCTGGTAATAACATCACATCTCTCATATGTCCTTTTTTCATCTTTTATTCCCACTTGGTTAATCAACATTTTAAAATATTGCTTAGCAATACTTTCATGTCAAAACCATAACATTCATTTCATTAATTTTTCACATAGAAATTATTACCCCATTTCACTTCCTTTACTATTTACTTTTTTTTTGGAGTATATACTTCTGCCAAAATACCATTTATTTAAATGACGGACCAATGTATAATAATACTTTATGACCAATTTCTATTCTTAACTTCACTACTTATTGGCTATGTGATCTTAGTTTCTTGACCTCAGTTAAGCTTCAGTGGGGGTAAAAATATTACTATTTTATAAGGTTGTTTATAAAGATAAAATAATTTTGTTAAGTTCATATTAAGTACCTGGTATGTGGTACTCCCTTACTTGATAATGACTTTTATTATGTTGATCTGTACTTTGAGCTGCTGCCACTTTTTGCTGATTCATTAGACACATTCTTGCATCATTCCCTTGTGACTAGTGTAATACAATTCAGTATAAAAACTGACTGTAATAAAGTTTCTATTTAAATGCCTAAAGAACTGGTAAATCCTGCAGTTCCACTCAATTTTAAGTTAGTTATCACTTTATCTTTGCAAGCAGGAGTGGCATCCACTTCTTAAATAACATGCCTCCAGAAATTCTATGAACTTTGATAAATGTCGATAATTGTAGAGGGGCTTCAGGCCTTTTGTTCACAGAGTCACTATGAGTCGTGCTTGACTCAAAGACAACAACAGTTCCACTTTATCTATATTTTAACTTCTATCATGTGATCATAACTACCCAAAATCTATTATCTTTGGAAAGATTTCATTTTTCATGAAGTGACTCAGTTATTACAAATTGTCTAAAGAGCAGAAAATGAGACTTGGGCCACAGGACTGAGAATGTCTCTGAAATGGTCAGAGGGAGTGAGAATAGCATAGCCCTCACCACCCCAGAGTAGAAAGCACATATAGCTTGTAGACCCACCCTATGGTATCTCTAGAGCCACACCAGCAGCAAGGGGTTCATTTATTCATTGTTGACTCATAGACTTTGTTACCAAGAGTGGGATTTATTAGGGAAGTTGAAGAGTAAGAGAGGCAAAGAATATACAATGCAAGTCCAGGTTTTCGGCTAGCAATCCCAAGGCGCAGTTCCTCAGTCCTTACTCTGGTTTCAGTTCAGCAGTTAGCTTTTCCTTCCATTATCTGGCAAGAATAGCAAAACCTTTAACAGTGGCCTTTATCTCAGTGATCCTCTGGTGACACTTTGTCACAGTTTCTCCACAGCAATGCCATAGTCTTTCTCCACTATCATCACTAAGTTCTTACTCTCACTAAGGTCTTGCTCTAGTCTCCCTCAAGTCTTGCTGCTTAGTATGAGACTCTCTCTCCTATCCCTTACGTACCCCCTCTCTGACTCCCACACTGTTGATGATTTGCAAGATCATGTGTCTACAGTTAAGATAGCAGGAGACTAAAGGGGGCTAACATAATGGCTAGATAGAATAACCAGTTTTAAAATTAACACTGCATAAATACACAATAAAATGAATTGATGTGAACACCATATACTGCATAACAAGTTCTTTAGGCATAACATATTTTATAAGAGTGCAGCTTTGTTAAAAAATGATGAGGAAACAGCTTTGTTTCCTGAGGGCAGTGCTCAGTAGGTGAACAAAGGCTGAACCTGTTCCAAGGGATTGTTCTCTTTGGCCTCGGTTGCTTGCATACCTGAGTGTGGGAAAGTATCATCCAGACCAAAGTTGAGATCTTCCATGACCTTGAGTAAGAACCTACTCTACTTTGGAAAATAAAGTCTCTTGGCAGTGAAATGTGATGTTTGTTTTAAAAAGGCATTGTGATAATTAAATTATGACAGTTTATTTGATGCTTTTTGCTTAACAGTGCTCACATTTAGCATCTCCACTTAATACAATAATTCTTTGAATACAGTTATTCAGCAAGAAGAATGGTTATCAAGTTAACCATCATTGGATGACCATAATATGTGACACTTCTGGAATTCACTTTGAGGACCATATATACTGAACCCATTACCAACTTCTAAGGTTCTAGACCCACTATTCTAAAATGTTCATCTGTGGCCATTTCAAACTTGTTACTGTGCTTACAGTTGAGTTCATTAACTATGAGCTAATCTGAAGTCTTCCTAGGAGTTGCTGCTTATTTGACAGGGAAGGTGAGGTCTAAACTTTTAGGCCTCTGAATCTCCCTTTCAGAGTCCAGACTTAACCAGAAATGCCTGAGTGATACAACTGCTTTCAGTGATCATTTAAACCTCTTGTTTGAATGGTGCTTGGGTTCATCTGGAGAGACTCTCCCTGGAGAGCTATAGCTTCATCTTTCCATGAGCTTTTAAGTCAAGTGTATTAAAGACACAAAAGCATCTTGTCTGGTTGTGTCAGTAGGCTTACTGAGAAAGCTGTGGTTTTCAAGGGTTTAGGGCATGGGGAGAGGAGGTGAATATGCCAGGGTTTGTTATTGATGTCATAATTTCTGACATATTAATGCAAAAATCTTACTTCTCTTACCTTCTAGGGATTGTTCCCTAAAGGGGAGACCGTTTCATCTCTTCCGATTACTCATCCAATACCATGAGCCTGAGCTGTGTTCTTTTCTGGATACAAAGAAAATTACTCCAGACTCCTATGCACTCAACTGGGTAATGAAGTGAAAGTAGGAAAATTTAATGAAAAGTGGATTTCTGAAATACTGTAGTTAGATCTTCATTCCCTCTTCCCCATCCACCCCACGACCAAACCGAAAAAGAGAAGTACTAAATTATTAAGTACTAAACTGAAGGAGTGAAATTACTAGCATTTCAAAATGCCTTTGTTTTACTGTTCATTTAATGTTCGGATTGTATTTTATGAAGGTTAACTCTGTGTGTGTGTGTGTGTGTGTGTGTGTGTGTGTGTGTGTGTGTGTCAGTATGTGTGTATAGCTGTATCTATACATAGATACAGGTGTGTATGTGTGTCTAAATACTCTGGTGACTTAGTGCTAAAGAGTTGCTCTCCCAACCTAAAGGCTTGTGTATCAGCTGCCCCATGGGAGAAAAATGCGCAGTCACCTCTTGTATGATTTATAACCTCTGAAAATCCACTAAAGAGTCAGCTTCTGATTAGTTGCTACTTAATAGTGCATAACAACAGACATGCACACACATATCTGTGTGTGTGTGTTTATGTGTAAAGAACCAGTTCAGTTTAAAACTACCTGTGATTAAGTTGTTGATAGAATTGCCAACTTTTGTGATTAAATTGTTGATGATATGAATAAGAATTGCCATATAATTTGGAAAATGACTTCAAATTTAGATGACTTATTAAATTATAATTCACATCTGCCTGTTCTGTCATTCTTAGAGTTTTAGTATGAAGTTTTATTGTTCTAGCTCAGTGATTCTCTAACCTTTTGTGCTCAGAACCTTTTATCCAAAAATTATTGAGGATCTATTATTTATATGGACTGTATTGATATTTACTATCTTGGAAATAAAAACTACTATATTAGAAATTAAAATTTTAAATGTTATTACATATTTACTATATTGGAAATTAAATCTTCTTTAGAAAGAATCCCATTAAAACATTTAAAAATAAACATGACACAAATAGTATACTTTTAATAGAAAATAACTATTTTCCTCAGGGTATTAGGGAAGAAAACCCCAACATTCTTTTATATTTTTATAAATCTCTTTAATATTTGGCTAATAGATTCTCTCATACCCACTTTATTCAATCTGTGGTGGTATTACACATCATGAAGCTTTTGGAAAATTAATCACTTGTAAGGGAGTGAGAAAGACAAAATCTAAGTATTTTGAAAGTAATTTTGACATCATGAGATTTCTCCTCCAGCTCCCAAAAAAAGTTCATAGGGATTTTGTGGAGTCCTCAGACCACACTCTGAGAACTGCTCTTCTAAGTTAGCTTATGGGAACAATAATTGGATGCTGGAAGAATATATATTAAGAAATTAAACCTATTCCTTGATAGCTATATCTCCCAAACAGAATGACTGTAATGAGCATGTAAGCCCAGCAGTAATTGAGGATGCACAGGGTCAGGCAAAGTTTTGTTCTTTTGTATATAGGGTCCACTATGAGTGAGAGTCAGTGGTAATAAATGACAGCATTTTTCTAGGAAGAATTACAATTTTTTTTTTACATTTATTACCTATTTTATTTAAAACAAATAACTTACCACTGAGCTCAATTTCCTCCTCTGCAAAATGGGAATAATAGTATCTATTTCAGATATTGATGGAGTGGATTAGCACTAAGTAAATGATAATTTTTAAAAAATCTTTGCATACAGTCCAGTTGATTGTGACTTGTGACTTCTCCATGTGTGTCATTGTGCTCCATAGTGTTTTCAATGGCTGATTTTTTCAGAAATAAACCTGCAAGTGTTTCTACCTAGTTAGCTCTGCACTCTTTCCTACAACCTTTTGATTAGCAGTCAAGTGCACTAACCATCCTTACCACCCAGGGACTCCAAAAATAGAGAATCCTAACTGGTTTCAGTTCTGGGCACAGTAAGTCTCAAACCTTTCTAGCCTGTTATTTTTTTTTATAATATATAATCGCATCATTTTGGGTTAACATAATAAAATACTATGAACATGTGTTGTTCTTGTTGTTGTGTACTGTTGAGTTGAAACCAAATATAGCTGACCCAATACTGGGTTTTCAGAGGAAGTTAATTGCACAGGAGGCGAATGCCCATCCTTCTCTGAAATAGATATTTTCATGCAATCTACTTAATTTGTTAAAATTTAAAAAAAATATTTCTCTCATGTATTTTGATACATCACAGGGATCTATCTAGTCACATCAATTACTCTGCCTAGAAAATTCTATATTGTCTAAAGACAGAAAATGGAACATGGGGGCACAGGCCGTGAACATCTTTCTGAAAGGGCCAGAGGGAGTGAGAATAGCACATCTTACTGCCTCAAAGCAGAAAGTAGATAAAGAGCCGATACCCTACCCAGCCCCCATGTTGATCAAGAGCCACACCAGCAGCAAGAGAGTCATTTATTCATTGTTGACCCTCAGCCTTTTCTCACAGTTGTGGTACCTAGAAAAGGGTTTATTAGGGGAAGAAGTTGGAGTGTGGGAGAGGGAAGGAATATATCACAGTACAGTTTTAGTCCAGCAGTCCTGAGCCAGCAAAACACAGTTCCTTAATTAGTAAAGGTCCTGGTTTCAGTTCAGCAACACAAATTAAAGAAGCCTCAGGTTTCCTCAGTCATCCAGTAGGATTTGCCTTAGAGGAGTTAAAAGTCCTCATCTCCTTCAAGCATCAATCAAGAACAGCAAAATTTTTAACTGTGGTCTTTATCTTGGGATTCTTCTGGTTATACGTTGCCGCAGTATCTCTGTCATCAACGAGGTCTTGCCACCCGGATCTCACTCTCATCATGGTCTTGCTCCATTCTCCAAGTTTTGCTGCCCAGTGAGGAAAGCATACTCTCACTTAGCTTAGTTCCACAGATGTTGATGATTTGCATGACCATGCGTTTGCAGTTAAGGTAGCTGAAGACCAGAGAGAGCTAAGGTAATGGCTAAAAAAAGCCAACTTTAGGCTAATATTGCATATATCTATTTCCAGAACTCTAAAATAGTATTCAGTACGTGATTGCTGTGATGCTGAACACTGTGACACTGATGTGTCAAATGTGATAATAGTTACCCTTGGTGGACAGTGTTTGGTGGAGCTCCCAGATTACAACAAGCTTGGAAGCAAGAGTGGCATCACTTCCGAAATAGCTTGCCTGTGGAAACCCTATGAACGTGGAGAAACGATGAAAGTTATACAACTGTTCAGGTCTTTTGTTCATAGGGTTTGCTACAACTCGATGGCACTTAACAACAATACTGGTAGCAGGGTATTTAAACTGAGTTTTAAAGAACTGATTTCTCTTCAACTGATGTTTCTATAGTTTGTACTTGTTACTAGACCTGGTAACTGAAGTAGTGTGATTAGATTTGTTGGAGTCAGTGAGACTGGGGCAGGATAGGTCAGGATTCAGAGCTAGTATACAGAGGGTTGCATGTGACTTGATGGCATATAACAGAACAATTAGTATGTTTGACAAATGGATCTTGTTTTTTGAAATCCTGAGATAACAATTAATGTCACTTTCAAACCTTGAGAACAACCCATAACTATGAGTAGTTGAATAGTAGCTTTAGTTGAGTTCAAGAATGGTCATATATTAGTCTGTATTGTGTTTATGCATCCACTAAACAGTACATTGACAGAGAACTACCAGAAATACAAGCTGGGTATAGAAATGGTCATGGAAATAGACGTGCCAGTGTCAGATGGATCTTGGCAGAAAGCAAAGTGTACCAGAAAAATATCTGTGTTTCATTGGCTATGCAAAAGCATTTGACTGTGTGAATCATAACAAATTGTGGTTAACTTGAGGAAAATGGAAATCCCAGAACACTTGTGCTTATGTAAAACCTATATTTGGACCAGGAAGCAGTCCTTAGAACAGAGCAGGGAAAAAACTGCATGGTTCAAAATTAGCAAAGGAGTGCATCAGTGATGCATCTGGTCTCCATGCCTTTTTCATTCTATATTCAGAAAAATAATTTATTTGGAAAGCATGGCTTTATGAGCAGTACTGTGACATCAAGTTTGGAGGAAGAATCATCAACAACCTATGTTATGCAGATTACACAACCTTGCTTGCTGAAACTGAAAAAGATCTGAAGTGTTTGCTGCAGAAGGTTAAGGACTGTAGTCTTCAATATGGATTGAAGCTTAACACCAAGAAATCAAAGATTCTCACCACTGGGCCAATTGGCAGCACCATGATAGATGGAGAAGAGATTGAGGTTGTTAACAATTACAGCTTGCTGCGCTCCACAGTCAACTCTTAAAACACCAGCAGTCAGGAAGTCAAAAGATTAATTGTATTGGGAAAAATCTGCTGTCAGGGACCTCTCCAAAGTGCTGAAAAGCAACGTCAGCCTAGAGACTAAGGTGCGCCTAATCCAGGCCATGGTCTTCACAATTACTTGTTATGCTTCAGAGAGCTGGCTAAGGATGACAGAAGAAAAATCAATGCCTTTGAATTGTGCCGGATAAGAGTCTTGAACGTACCATAGACTGTGAGGAAAACAAACAGATCTGTCTTGGAGAGAATGAAACCAAGATTCTTCTTGGAAGCTTGAATTTTTGAAGCTCCATCTCACATTCTTTGGGCACGTGGCCAGGAGAGATTAGTGCTTGGAGAAGGGCATCATGCTTGGAAGGGTGGAGGGACAGATCAGGAGAGGAAGACCCCAGATGAAATGGATTGATACAGTATCTGGGGCAGTGGGGCTGGTGTGTCAGAATTAGTGAGACTGGCTCTGGACAGGGCAAGGATCAGAGCTGCTATAGGTCGCAGGCAGCTTGATGGTGCATGATGTCAGTTTGGAGATTATGGTGCGACCAATACACGGCACGGTCTTTGCAATCACTTGCTATGCATCAGAGAGCTGAACAATACTACAGATGATAGAAGAAGAATTGATGCCTTTTAGCTGTTGGTGTTGGAGAAGAGTATTGAATAAACCATGGACTATTAAAAGAACAAACACATTTGTCCTTGAGAGTGTTAAACCAGGCTACTCCTTGTAGGCAACTATTCGGAAGTTTTGTCTGACATATTTTGGACATGTTGCAAGGAGGAACTAGTCCTTGGTGAGGGACATCATGCTTGGGAGGGTGGAGGGACAGTGCAAGAGAGGAAGACTCAGATGAGATGGATTGATTCAATTACTGGGGTAATGGGGGTAGGTGTGTCAGAGACAGTAAGTTTGGCACAGGATAGAGCAGGGTTTAGGGCTGTTTTACATAGGGTCGCTATGAATTGCAGGCGACTAAGTGGCACATAACAACAACAACAGTCTTTATTAGTTCTGGTAGCCTAGTGGTAAGCTGTGTGCAATCCCACAGCTGCTGTGGGTATGAATCCTCCAGCTGCAGTTTTGGAGAAGGATGGACAATCTCCTCCCATGTGTTTTACTACCCCTGAAAACCCACTGGAGGGTCAGCTGTGGGTTGATTCCAGCTCAGTAACACACAACAACAATATTTATTTCTAATAGAATTTTTAATTTATTAATTAGATTATATATTATATTTATATTATATATTATAAATATAATTTATTAATTTAACTAATTCGTTAAATTAGTAGCATTATATATGTTTTTAAAACCCTAATGTCAGATGTAATAGTGATTGCATGAGTTGTTGAATCAGGAATTTTTTTCCTAATCTCAATGCCACCCCTCACTAGCTCTGTGAGGCTGAGAAGTTTGTTTCATCTAAATGTATTTCCTCATATGTAAAATAAGGAAAAATATATCCTCTTGGTAGGCTTGTTAATTTAAGAATTAAATTAAGAACCAATAAAAGATAGGTGAAAGTGATTTAGTTCCTTACATAAAAGTGCACTAAAGTATGTGTTTCCCATTTGTTCTCTTTAGCCATTAGAATTGTTTTCTTTTTTAAAAAAAAATAGAATTGTTTTCAATCAAAACCTGTAGATAAGTTGTCTTTGTATCTAATGAAGGTTGAATAATCTAAAAATACCATTGAATTCATGTATTTAAGGCATAATTGAACTCTAACTAAACTTTTATAAATCAACAACTCCTATTTTTAAATGTAGGGAGTCCAGGTTGTATAGTCTATATCAAGTTGTACTGCTAATTCAAAAGTAATACCTTTCTGACGGTTCAAATCCACCAGCCGTACTGAGGAGGAAATACTGCTAAGAGAACAAACAGGTCTGTCTTGGAGAAAGTGAAACTCAAATGCTCCTTGGAAGCAAGCATCTAATATGCTTTGGGCACATTGTTAGAAGGTGCCAGTCCTAGGAGAAAGAATAGCATCATGTTTGGGAAGGTGAAGGGTCCGTATAAGAGAATATAAGAACATCCTCAAGAAAGATGGATTAACACAGGGATTGTAGTAGTAATTGGGCTCACATTTGTCAGAGATAGTGAGGACGACACAGGATAGGGCAGGCTTTTTTATCTCCATTGTTCATTGGATTGCTATGAGGCAGTCAATTCTGCAGCACATAACATATGACTGACAGCCTCAGAAGCCTGCTGTATGATCAACTGTGAGTTGGTTCTGACCTGATGGCAGTGAGTTTGAGCTTTTTATTTGAAATGTGGAAACCATAGATTCCCTAGCAGTTAGGGCTGTATTTGCTATCTTAATCTGTTTCAAATGATGTACAAATAAGTTTGGGGATCACAAGTACCTTGTAAATTGAGTATAGTGTTACAATTAGTAATAATTATGCTGTTTACCCTTTATACAGCTGTTGGTAATTATGTGAATTATTATGTTTGCCACATATATACTAGCTACATTAGACATTTTAGGTTAATTGCCTCTCAACACTGGAAGAAGATAGGTAACAGTAGTCTTAAAAACCAAAATGACAGCAAAGAAAGGAATCTTTATTAAAGAACTTAAGTAAGTCCCCAAGTTGCATAGGTAGTATATGACTATGCCATACCTTGAATTTTCCTATTTTGCCCTTGGATTACATACATTAAAATTAACAGTGTCATACACACGGCAAGAACATGGTATCCAGCCAGTCAGTTGAATTGAGAAATTGTACATTCACACAGTGGAATACTGTGCCTCACTCAGGAGCAACAATTTTGAAATTTTCTACATAATGTGGGAATGATCACTGGAGAGAATGATACTGAATGAATTGAATTTATTCAATCTCATAAGGACAAATAACTGCATAAGATCAGTATTGTGGAAATAGATATCTAGTAAAAAGTATGAGGACCCAAGGAGCGGAAGGGTGGGGGGAGCTCAGGGATGAGGATGGGCATGGGGGAAATCATAGGGTCACAGTTAGGTGGGTGGAGGGAGAGGAGTGTAAAGGAAATGGAAAAGATCTGGGAGGGATCTGGAAAGACAGGGTAATGGTGGGCATAGTTCAGTGGTCATTGATTTTATAAAACAGTGAATGGGAATGATTGTATTAAATGCAATGTGAATGGGATAGTGTGAAACACAATGTATATGAACTTGATAAGCAAACCAATATAAAAGAAAATTTTAAAAAACATGTCTAAAAGTACCTATTAAACGTGAGGTATATATAACCTGATAAATTACATGTGTATTTGCTTTAATATTTTTAAAGTGCCAAGTGTTTTACAGCTCTTATTTCCTTTTCTGATTTTAGCTTGGAAGCCTGTTTGCATGTTACTGTTCCACTGAAGTCACTCAAGCAATATGGGATGGCTATCTACAACAAGCAGATCCATTTTTCATTTATTTCTTAATGTTAATAATTCTTGTTAATTCAAAGTGAGTATAAAATTGTTATATTTTTTCTCTTTTCTCAGATTGATTTCCTAATATTTAATTCAAATTAATTTCATTCACTTTTACAGAGAAGTTATTTTAGCACAAGAGTCAGACAGCAAAGAAGAAATTATTCGTAAGTACCATTTAATGTAGAGAGAACATTTGAAGTGAGTCTTTGCAACTATGTTTCCTCATCCATAAATTATAGAGATTAATCTAGAAGAGCCCTGAAGTTCCACTCAGCTCTAATTTTATATATAATAATACATGTATAGGCTTATTTTCCCTCAGTTCACCATCATCATTCATTTCTTTATGTTTTTTCCACTCTTCCATTTCTTTCCTATTTATTTTTTTGGTTTCAATGTTCCAACAAAATGCCCTTCTCTCCTGCTCTTCACACCTGTTCTTAACTTCCCAGTACTCAGCTTATATGACAACTCATTTTAAAACCTTGGTCCTTCTTTGATTCTCCCAACCCTGCCCACTACACAGAGGTAGTAACTCTGTTGTCTAGCACTTTGTATTATCTTTAATGTGCTTTTTTTACTGCATTGTAATTATTTTTAATTGTTTACATAAGACAAAGTTTCTGATGTCAGGAATTCTTTCCTGGCTATTTAGTTTATATGGATCGTGGCAATTACTGTATCTTTATTGAAGAAGTAAGCCAGAGTTTTCTGATCAAAGCTAATAAATTTTATTTGATTACCTGTCATTATTCCCTACCTGCAGAATTACAGTAATAATTTCAGTCCTGTAGGGAAATACAGTTCCTCCCCATGCAGCTTTAGAAACATCACTGTTGAAATTCCATTGATAATTTATTATGCTGAAGATATTTCTGCTTTGATCATAAGTAATGCTCATGAAATATTCTTTACTGAGAAATTTTAAAACATTGTCATATTTTATAATTATATTTCAGAGTTCTTGGAAAATACACCATCCAGTTTGAATGTAGAAGATATAGAAGACCTTTTCTCTCTGGCTCAGTATTATTGCAGTAAAACACCAGCATCATTTAGGAAGGTATAAGACAAATGACCAAGTATTCAGTGCTTCACATTTTGTTTTATTGTTTACTCTATATCCACTTCATTTGAAATGCCCTTTTAAGTTGTCATTCTTTTCTGTCTGTGTGTTGCAATTTTATGTGATTTTTTTTTTCGTGTGAATACCCTCTCTAATATTCACTATCTTGTAAATATTTGCTAAAAACGATTGAAAGTAAATATGCTTCCGCTCACCTAATCTATAACAGTAGGTATTTTTGCTCATGAGACAATTATGAAATGTTTCTCAGTTTAGTGCTTTATTGACATTAGAACATCATACATTAAGGAAAAAAGCATTTGTCAAACCACAATAAGAAAGGGTGGCAAATGACTATGAAAAGCAGGTTGGTGCTTTCTTAAAAAGTTGGAAATGGAAATACAATTGTTAAAGCACTCAGCAGTCCCACCAAGTATATATATCATAAAGAAATAAGAGCTGCAACACAAACTGATGAATGAACATACATGTTTATTTCAGCATTATTTATAATAGCAAAGAGATATAAAAACCCCATGTGTCCATTGATGGGTGAATGGTTAAAGAAACTGTTATCAGTTATATATCTCATGGTGTTACATATAACGGTAAAGAATTTGAGAATACTGCATAACATGGATGAAATCTAGAGGACTACTGCTGAGTGAAATAAGTTAGTCACAATTAACAAATAATGCAAAAGACCACTATTATAAAAAGCTAAAGAAAAATTTACACATAGAATCATCCTTGGGGGGGTTCCTAGGGATGAGAAGGGAGGGAAACAGGAATAAAATTAACAATTCATAGACACTAAACGAGTGAAAGGAAATATATAATTAGGGGATCATTTGACATTTTGGGTATTAAAGTTACAAAATGTATATGAATGATTGGCTGAAAATCCAATATGCTTTGTAAACCTTTACTCAAATCATAGTTTTAAAGAATATTAAAAGACAAGATATGAAATTAGAAGCACAAATGGTATGAAGTCTTAGAAAATATTTAAAGATGCAAGAGCTGGTAGTGGAGTAGATATGGTGGTCCCATTCAGAAAGCAAACAGGTTAATCTTAGAGTGCACAAGATTACTTTACTGTCTTTTTAAAAAGCATTCTACCATGAGAATTGCTAGTTGGTAGTCATATCACTGAAAGACCAAGATAATAATTTATAGTCATTTTAATTTATTCCACAAGGCCAGTAAAGGAAATATTTAAAGACTATGCCCTAAAATAATTATTATTTTATAAAAGAGTAATGGTTATAGAGTATTTTCAGTGGTTTTTAATAATTGTTTTTTGTATAACACCGTACTTCCCCAAAAGGTGAGGTACCTTAAATGGTGGTAAGGTCATTTAGGATAATCTCTATACAGAAATGTCATTCTTTTCAACCATATGGAACATCTTTAATTCTCCAGATAAAATAAATTTACAATAACAATTGCCTGTATATCAGGGAGGGAACTCTGGTGGCATAGTCTATATAGCCATGCTACTAACACACAGGCCTGGCCCCCTGGTGATTTGAATCCAGCAGCAGCTCTGCAAAGATAAAGGATGAGGAATCTCCTCTTGTGCAGTTTACTGCCTCAGAAACAAGTAGAGGGTCAGTTATATGAGTTGGTTCTGACTTGACAGTGAAGTTAGAGAGGGATATCAGGGTATCAATTCATGCAGTTTATTTCTGCTTCTTTTAGCACATAAAAATATGAAAGATTAGTAATAATTTAAAAATTTATAGTTGACTATATGTGGTAAGTAGTGCAATAGTAACTGGTGGTACAGTTGTTAAAGCACTCATCTGCACACTACTCTTTGAGAGAATGATGTGGTGTTCTGCTTCCAGAAATCTTTATAGCCATGCAAACCCTATGAGACATTTCTACTCTGCCTGTAAGGTCACTCTGAATTAGAATTGACAATAAGCAGTAGGCATAGACAACATATGTGGAGATGTAAAATAACTATGTAGAATATATTACTTTTCCCTAGTATTTTCTTTTGTATAAACTGCTAAGAATTTTGTTTGAAATCTTTCAATGACCTTTAAGACTTGAGATTATACATTATAAAGTTTTAAAAATAACTGGTGGGTGCAGTTACTTATTATCATTGCTGATTAAAGAATATTTTAATGAAGAAAAAAATTTTTATAATTTTCATAATGTTTTCAAAATCTTCAAACAGGATAATCACCATCTGTTTGGCAATACTTTGTTGGGAATCAAAGATGATGATGCAGATCTTAGTCAAGCTCTTTGTCTGGCCATCTCAGTATCAGAGATCCTTCAAGCAAATCAGTTGCAAGAGGTAAGTTAAAAAAGCTACAGTTTGTCGGGACTTTTCCGTTTGTATGAAGAACTATCGTCAGTACTCCGTGTTCATGGACTTCCACAAAATTAATTTACTCTTAACAATATAGCTGTTTTGATTGATTAATGTGTTAAATCTGTTAAGTCATTTCTAAACTGATAGTTTGTGCATTAATTCAGTTGCCAACAATTAATTTTGTCATTGTGATACTAATTTTTGTAAACTGCTGTTTTCATATTTCTTATAATTGAATGTGGCATTGCATAAAGTGCTGAAGCATTATAAGTATATAGCTAATTAGAAGATCAAAGACTACAGCCTTCAACATGGATTGCATCCCAACATTAAAAAGACTGAAATCATGATGGGTGGAGAAAATATTTAAATTGTCAGTGATTTCATCTTACGTGGGTCCACAGTCAACACCCTTGATACTAGCAGTCAGTAGATTAGGAGACATAATTACATTGGGCGAGTCTGCTGTCAGGTTTCTCTCCAAATCACTGAAGAGCCATGATGTCTGTTTGAAGACTAGGATACACCTGATTCAGCCCCTGGTCTTTTCAGTCACTTGCTGTGCATCTGAGAGACAATGAATAAGGATGACAGAAGGAGAATTGATGCCTTTGAGCAGTAATGTTGGAGAAGAGTATTCACTATCCCATAGACTTGCCAAAAGAGCAAGCAGGATATGTCTTGGGAAAAGTGCAGCCAGAGTACTCCTTAGAGGCAAGAATGGTGAAACTTCTCATATACTTTAGGCATGTTGTTAGGAAGAGCCAGTCCTAGAAAAGGGGACATCATGCTTGTCTGAAAAGTTGAAGGGTCAGCCAAAGAGAAGACTCATAGTGAAATGGATTGACACTGTAACTGCAGCAGTAGGCTCAAGCGTGTCAGAGATGATGAGCACAACAACAGAGTTCAGATCTTTTGTTCATAGGGTCCCTGTGAGTTGCAGTCGACAACATCTATCAACAGTACCTGTTGTTAACACCCAACAGTAGCTAATTGGAGAGCTCTAGTGAGCTAGAATATAAAGAGTTGTGTTGCTAACTCAAAGGTGGTTTGACTACACCAGCTTTTCTGAGGGTGAAAGATGGGCAATCTCTTCTTGTGCATTTCCAGCCTTTGGAAACCCACTGAATGGTCAACTTCAGTTCTAACTGTAGCACATAATAACAAAAACAATATAGCTAAAAAAAACAACACCAGAAAAAACCAATATAACTAAATGAATTGTATAACTTAATTTTACAAAGCATGTAACAAAGAAGGAAAATTAAGACTTTTCTATGACTTCTGGAAAACCTGATAGGTCAGTTTGACCAAAGCTATCTTTCAAATGTACTTAATATTATATAACAGTTAACCATGGATGTGTGTATTTGGAAAGTTTGGAAGGCAAAGAGAAGTGGACATGAGATAATAGACTTTTTACAATAGACATTTTTCAGTTGAACTTCATAATATTTGAACTGTTGAGAACTTTGAAAAAACAAGCATTCACCCTCCACCGACCAAACTGTGCAGCTCTGCAACTGCATCCTGGCCCATCCTCACCCTTCTGCCCCCAACCCTCACCTCCTTGTACCCCCAATATG